TACCATCAAGTCAGAACCAACCCATAACTGACTCTCCAATGGGTTTTCAGAGGCTTTTAATCGCATGGGAGGAGATTGTCCATCCTTCTCCAGTGGAGCAGCTGGTGGCCTCAAACCACGTACCTTCGGGATTACAATGCAACTTCTTGCCATTGGGCCACCAGAGTTTCCTCTCAAATGTGTGTGTGTACATACATATGAAACTTAAACAATGAAGAAGAAATACAGAAGAATTGATTTCCTTAAGTTGTGGCTTTGGCAAAGAGGACTGAATATCCAAAGAAAGAAAGAACCAGATGTATCATGACGTCCAACCACAGTGCTCCTTAGAGATAAGGATTGTGAAACTTTGTCTCACGTTGTTTACATTTTCAGGTAGAACTAGTCCTTGGAAAGAAGTATCATTCTGAAAAAGATACAGAATCTGTAAGAGAGGAAGATCTCTCAGTAAAAGGACTGGTGCAGGAGCTGCCACGATGGGACTAAGCATAAAAGAGACGGCAAGGATAGTGCAGGAAAGAGCAAGGGTCAGATCTGTTGTTCACGGGGTCACAATGAATTGTAGTCAATTTAATGGCCCCTAATAACAACAATATAAATATATGTCCTACATATTAAAGCAGTATATATAAAAATTTGTTGTTGTTTGCCATCGAGGTGGAACCGATCCATAGTGGACCCTCTGGTAGGTTTTCAGGGGCAGTAAATTGCCCAGGAGGAGATTGCCCATCCTTCCCCCACAGAACAAACAGATGGTGAATTCGAGTGATTTCGAGTGACGTGCCTTCAGTATTTCAGCACAGCTTCTTCCCACTAGGCCACCAGTGCTATATACAAGAAGTGCTATATATAAGAAACAAGAAATTGCCCTACAATTGCAAAGGTACATAGTTCAACTCCACTAGCTGTTCTGAGGAAGAAGAATAATGAGCAATTTCCTTCTGTGTGATTAACTGCCTCTGAGAATTCAATGGAGAGTCAGATATTAATCAGTTAAGACTCAACAGCATAGAGCAGCCATATGTATATGCAATTATGACTACGTATATGCATATATTTATTACCATATATGTGTATACATATATATTTGTGATGCCTTTGAGCTGTGGTGCTGGTGAAGAATATTGAATATACCATGGACTGCTAAGAGAACAATCAGATTCATCCTAGAGAGGATGAAATTAAATCATTTTCTTGTGGAAGCCCAGGAGTGTTTTGTAAACTGTTTCTATAAGACTCTTGTCTGAGACAGTAAGAGTGGCAAAATTTAACAGGACAGCAAATAATAAATGTTGGAGAGGGTGTGGCAAAAAAAGGAACTTTTATACATTGCTGGGATTGTAAAATGGTACAACCATTCTGAAGCAGTTTGGCACTTCCTCAAAAAACTGAACATAGGAATTCCATATGAGCCAGCTATTCCATTACTTGGAATTGTTGTTGTTGTTGTTACTTGGAATACACCCTGAGAAAATGAGAACTGAGGCACAAATGGAGATTTGTATACCAATGGTCATAGCAGCATTATTCACCATTGCAAGAACATGGAAACAGGCCAAATGTCCAACCACAAATGAATGGATTGAGAAATTATGGTACATTCACACAATGGAATACTACGCAGCACACAGGGACAATGATTTTGTAAATTATTACCTAACTTGGGAGGGACTAGAGAGCATTATGCTGAGTGAACTAACTCAGTCCAACAAGAATAAATACTGTATAAAACCATTATTGTAGAATGAGTATAAGGATCCAAGAAGGGCGGGAGAGGTTGGAAGCAGAGGGATGAGGATGTGCAGGGGGAGAGGGGATTAATCATGGGGTTGTACACTTGATGGGTGGTGGGTGTGGGAAATTGAAAGAATTTGTTCTTGAAAGCAATGTATTCAAATTTTGTAAATAAACTAGAAGAAAACCTAAAAAATAAAATAGAAAAGTTAAAAAATAACAAGAAAATGACTGAAAGCAGTAGATAGTGTTCTTTAATTTCCACACTCAATTGACTCATTCTTCTTAGGAATGGGAGAAAGTATGGACCTCTTCCAATCCATTTGCCAGAAAACTATTCTCCAAATTTCCATAAACAGATTGGTGAATGCATCCAAGGCTGCATCTGTTAATTGAAGCAAGGCAATTGGTATCCCATCAATTCCTGGGGCCTTGTTTTTTGCCAATGCCTTCAATGCTGCTTTTACTTCCTCTTTCATTACCATTGGCTCCTGTTCATATGGCACTTCCTGAAATTTTTCAGTTCCAATCAATTTTTTCTGGTATTCCCGCCATCTCCTTTTGATGCTTTCTAGGTCATTCAATATATCAATATATTTATCATGATGAATGGAGAGGAGATTGAAACTGTCAACAGCTTTATCTTGCTTGGATCCAGTATTAACATCCTAGGAATAAGCAATCAGGAAATAGGAGACACATTGCACTGGAAAAATCTGCAGGACCTTTGCAAAGTATTGAGGCATAGTGATGCCAGTTTAAGGACTAAGATGCATCTGATTCAAGCCATGGTCTTTCTGATTACTACCTATGATCGCTTCTTGGCCTTTTTGACTAAGATCAAGTGATCACTACCTATGCACTTGAAACCTGGGCAATGAATAAGGGTGACAGAAAAAGAATTGGTGCTTTTGAGCTGTGGTGTTGGAGAAGAAGACTGAACATCCCAGGGATGGCTAAGGGAATGAATACATACGTCTTGGAGAGGGTGCAAAAGAATGCTTTTTGGAGGCAAGAATGATGAGGCTTACTTCTCACTTACTTTGGACATATGACTAACAGGTGCTATTCCTTGGAGAAGGACATGGTGTTGGGAAGGGTGGAGGGTCGATGAAGGAGAGAAAGATACTCAACCAGGTGGATTGATATGGTTAATGCTGCAATGGGATCTTGTGTGTTAGGAAGTGTGAGGATGATGCAGGATAGAACAGGGTTCAGATCTTTAGTTCATAGGGTCTCTATGAATTGTGCTTGACTCAATGGCACCTTACAACAACAATCACTCAAAATCATTTGAGCTGGCTATTGACTTACTGATCTAATAAAACCTTCATTTATAATCACTACCTCTTTGTTTTTATTAAATTTGTCTTTGATCACAAAGTACTAAAATATTATCAATTATCTTTCAAAAGAATTTTAAATAGTTGCTGCATCAAATGATTTATGGCTTCAAATTCCTAGCAGTTGATGCTAAGATGCACTGTCTGTCCTGGCAAAAATTCCAGTCAAAGTGCATTAATTTAAAATACTTCAGATATTTTTTATATTTTGATTAAAATAGAAATACTTTGGAAGGAGATTGGAAGATTCTAAATATTCTATCTTAGTATCATTGACATCCAACAAAAAGTGAAATTGACCTGTATGAGACTATATCAAGAATGCCAAAACAACTACTCATATATAAATGCATTCTAATACTCCAATTATGGATTCATTTATAGGTCAGCGATGCAACCACAGCATCAATTTTATTTTCTTGATTTCCAATATGTTATTTCATGTTTATACTCTAATGTCTTGCACCACAGTAGCACTCTAATTGCTAAGTTATTCCTTTACTCCTAGATTTTGCCCTTTGACTCCATAGCAAGAATAACATTGTCTTGTTACTGACATCTAATAATTGCAAAAAAGATTTGTTTAAAGTACTAGATAATTTTATTTATTTATAGGATATGGTTTAATTCTAGGTTTTGACTCTAAAGTCAAACTTTTTTTCTTCTGCCAACACTTTATCAGAGAATATTCAGCACCCTATTCCAAAACTTTCTCTCTTTCAACTTCATTCCTCTTGAGTGTCATTGGATTAATTGTGATGGACTAATGGTAAGAAGCTTTGCTGTAATCCCAAAAGTATGCAGTTCAAATCCACCAGCTGCTTTGCAGAAGGATGGGCCATCTCCTCCCATGTGATCTACTGCTTCAGAAAACCGTCTGGAAGGTAAGCTATGGGTTGGTTCTGACTAGACACCATACAACAACAATAACAATGTGGTAAAAATATCATTCATTTCTTTCCAATAGCAAAAGATATGTCATCAAGACCTGTTGTAAGAATCTTGTCTGTCTCTCTTCCCTCAACTTCCTTGTTAACATCTTCCTAAAATATGCCATTTCTCTTAGCTCGTTTTCATTCCAAGTCATTTTCCTTTTTTTGATGAGACTCAAACCTTTTTTTACCAATTATTCTTCTCTATAGATGGCAACTGCAATAATAATGCATCCACAACTTCAGGTTCTTACAGATAATACATGATAATGTCACATGGATCTAGGTGCAGTTTATCCAGGCCATGGTCTTTACAATTACTTGCTATGCATCAGAGAGCTGGACAATGACTAGGGAGGATAGAAGGAGAATTGTTGTCTTTGAGCTGTGGTGTTGGAGAAGAGTACTGAATGGACCACCAAGAAAACAAACAGGTTCACCCTGGAGAGGGTTAGACCAGGCTGCTTCTTGGAGGCAAGGATTCTGAAACTTTATCTGATATATTTTGGGCATGTTGCTAGGAGGAACTAGTCCTTGGAGAGGGATATCATTCTTAGGAGGATGGAGGGACAGCGCAAGAGAGGAAGACTCTCAATGAGATGGATTGACTCAGTGACTGGGATAATGGGGGTAGGTGTGCCAGAGATGTTAAGTTTGGCTCAGGATAGAGCTGGGTTCAGAGCTGTTGCACATAGGGTCGCTATGAGTTGTAAGCAACTCTATGCCATATAACAACAACAGTGTTAAGGGATTCCTTGGCCAATCCAAAGGAATGTATTTGAATCTACTAGCTGCTTTGCAAGAGAAAGATAGGCATTCTTATACCTTGCAATTAATTGCATCTAAAAATCTGTTGAAGGATCAACTATGGGTTGGTTTCAACTCAACAGTGCACAACCACAATAATAAAAACATTGTTCCATTAAAATGAAATACTCATGAATAAATCTGCAAATATTGTGAAAAGAAAGTATTTTATTCCACATGAACATTAGCATTCTTGTATTATTTCTTTGCCCTTTAGCTGGTTCTGAGTTTGAGGAGCCCATTTGGTCATTTCAGATATCTTCAGCAAAAGCAAAATGCAAATCCAGTAGAAATTGGTGAATATATACTCAATAATTTCTATAATTGTTATCAGGCTGGCCCCACAAAAGAGACCCAGTTGACCACCAACATCTGCTGTAATAAAACAAATAAAATAAGCCATAGCTTTTCTATAAGAAAACAAAACATTGCTAGAGTCTAAATTGTCTAACAGAAACAAATTAATCACAACTGTATTTTATTAAAGTAGAATTCATTTTGTAATTTAAAAACACGTTACAAAGCTGAAAGAAAGCCAGTGGTCACTGAGTTAATTCTGACATATGGTGACCACATATATTACATTCACTATTAAGTAACAAATATTAATGAATCTGGGTATAGATATTATGTCAATAATCTCAAAAATTGATACAAAATGAAATTGAGGAGCAAGTAAATAACACTTACCAAGTAACTCAGATACACTCACTGCTTTTTGCTGCTGTGTTATCTTGTAGTTTAAATCATTATAGTTTATTTCAATGTAAACAAGATTTTCCCTGTAGGTTAGAACAGAGTTAAAATTTTGGAGGGTGGCATCCACTTTCTCATCATGCCTCTGGAAACTCTATGAACTCTATAAATGTCGATAGTTATAGAAAGGCTTCAGGTCTTTTGTTCATAGAGTCACTATGAGCAGTCAACAACAACAACCAGGTATAAATTTAATTCTTTTGACAAAAGTAACATCAACTCTTGTTCAGAAATTAATGCTGAATTAGATAACTATGGTCAACATTAATCAAAACATTCTTTTTCTTTTGAGGTACCAGTAATAAAATATCAGGTGTTGCTGTATACTGTTGTGTTGGAACTGACTCATAGCTGATCCTCCAGCGGGTTTTTAAGGGCAGTAAAACGCACATAGAGGAGACAGCCCATATTCCTCCCAGGCCAGGTAGTTAATTGAAATGGCATATGTTTTTGTTGGCAGCAAAAAAATCAGTAGAATCAAGACTTTTTCTGTGTATCATTCCCAAGCGTGATGGTAACATTTATGTGTTACCATGGCGAGGCTATCGTGTCTAGTCGTTTGAATAAGCACTAATCTACATGCTGCTATGAAGGTATTTACTTACCTATGATTCTATATAAATCTATTGAAAACAGATTTTAATAATGTAAGTAGGCCTTGTCCAGTCATTCGAATACCTTAATGGCAAAATATGAAGTTTTCTACAGGGAAGGAAAATTCTTTTTCCTTAAGACCATAATGTAGGAAAGTTGTTAGAATTCTTATTTTTCCACTTGGCTAATTGATTTTGAACTCAAAACTGTCAGAATTTTTAATTGATTTCCTGACTTGCTAACACTGACAATATTTAGCGTTAAACCTCCCTGCCTCACTCTTTCTCTTTTTGTCATTATTTCTCATATATTTATGATATTTGCAAATATTTTACTGTGCTGCATGTATATTTATATTTACTACTTTTTCTAGTTTCTTAGTGTATTGTTGTTGTTATTGAGCACCATTGAGTTGAAACCAACCTACAACTGACATTCCAGAGGGCATTCAGAGGCACTTAATGGCACAAGTGGAGATTGCCCACCTTCCTGCTGAGCAGCTGGTGGATTTGAACCATATGCCTTCGCAGCTTCTTACCACTATGTCACCAGAGTTCCCTTCTTAATGTATTAAGGTTCCACAGAAAAGGTGTAATAACTTTTATATATCTTAATATACTATTATATACATATATATGTATATGTGTGGGTATATAATAGTTACACAATTACTGATTAATGTCATATATAAATGATTAATATAGGAAAAACCGGAAAAATATTTAGTATATTTCTATTTAAATATTTGTTGTTGTTATGTGTCATAGAGTCAACTACAATTCACAACTAGTGACCCTATGAACAATGCCCTTGCCCTGAACCTTGTGCTATACGAGGTCAAACTCACCATCTTTGACACACTTGATCCCATTGCCACAATCACTGTGTAAATCCATCTAATCCAGGGTTTTCCTCTTCGGGGCTGACTCTCTTCTCTTCCAAACATGAAGTGCTTCTCCAAGGACTTGTCTCTCCTGGCAATATGTCCAAAGTATGTGAAATGGAGCTTCAAAATCCTTGCCTCCAAGGAGTAAACTGGTTTCACTCTCTCCAAGGCAGGTCTCTCCCTGTTCTCTTGGCAGTCCATACTATGTTCAGTACTCTTCTCCAGCACCACAATGCAAAGGTATTGATTGATTTTTCCTCTGTAATTCTTATTCATTGTCCAGTTCTCATAGTATGGCAAGCAATTGAGAAGATCATAAACTGGATAAGACAAATCTTAGTCTATAAAATGGCATCATTGCTCTTTAGCACTTTGGAAAGATCTTTAAGAGTAGATTTTCCAAGCAAAATTTATCTTTTGATTTCCTGATGGCTGATGCCAAGAATGCTGATTATGGGTCAAAAAAAAATCCTTAGCAACTATTTAAATGTGTATCTAGTTTTAATTTGACTCCTGGATCTATTCTTATATATTACTAAATAAATCATATTGTCCAGATTTTGGTTCTCATTCAAAGTTGGAATTTTCAAGCTAAATTCTCAGAATTAAAATGAGAAGTTAAACTATATATCAGCACAAAACAAGGACATGTTCCATAAATGCTAGTAATTTATGTTATTAATATGCTAAGTCACTGACTCTGAACTATCAGTGTCTTGTATGAACCTTTATACCATTCTAGTGATTCAATATTATTATAAAATGTAGATTATAAAGTCTTGGAAACCCTGCTCTCTTGGAAGCTCGGATCACTAATTTAATCTTCTGTTATTTATCTACGCCTCTTTGTGGCTCCACATAGATGCTTATGAGATAATTTAATTTATTCTATGTAATTCTATTGCTATTTCTCCATTTTTAACTCTACATTACATGTTCCACATCTAATCTATCAAAAAATCCTATTTGTTCTACTTTTAAAATATTCCAAATACTATTACTATACATCCACACCGTTGTTACCATTCTTACTCAGTTTCTCAGCCAGATTTTAATGATAGTTCTATGACTGTTCTCTCTGGGTCTAATTTGATTGAAACTGATCCTTCAAAATACATACCCTCTGTACTTCCAGCAGTAATAAAAGGAAGCCTTCAATGCCAATATTTGACTTAAAATTCCACAGAAACCTCTCCGTCTAAGTAAAAGTCCTACATGTTCCTGTAAAGTCTGTATCATGTCTCTTATCATAACCTTTATCAACTCATCTTCTGTCACTCTTTGACATTGTTTACATTTCTCCAGTCCTACCAACGTCATTTCTGTTCTTTTAACACACAAAGTACCCTCTTGTCTCTGGGCATTCTTCTTCGATTGCTTTTCTCTTGAGTGAAAAAGAGAAAGATTCTCAATGAGGCAGATCGACACAGTGACTACAGCAATGCACTTAAGTATGGAGAAAGATTAACAAGAAGATGCATATATGTAGAGTTTTGATGTTTTGTTCCTATGGCCATTATACCTTTCTCTCTCTATCATTACCACAAAGTCAGAATTTACTCTGAACAGATCTTCAGTGCGTTTTCAGAGATTGTAAATCACGTAGGAGGGGATTGTGCATCCTTCTCTTGCAGATGAGCTGGTGATTTAAATCACTAAGTCTCTCAGGAAGTTGTGATGATTTTATGGTAAGGAGTTGAGCAGTCAATCCAAAGGTAAATCCACCAGTTGATCCGAAGGAGAAAGATGGGCAATCTCCACCTATGCAATTTATTGCATTTGAAAACCTCTTTGAGGGTCAGCTATGAGGCTGTTCCCAATCAATTGGTACACAATAAAAGCAATACCAGAGTCACCGTGAGTCAAAGTCAACTTCAAGACATCTAATAACAACAATAAAATGTATATACGAATGGGCAGTCCCAGTATCAATTATCCCTCAGTTGATTATGACTTCAAAATGTTTGGAACACTCACAGCATCACAATGCCACTGATAGTGAAGAAACTAATACTTCACCTAAACAAGAAAAGCCTTGCATTTCCTTTTTTTAAAGGGGGGGGGTGTGCGTGTGTGTGTGCACCTGCGCGTATGTGTATTTAAAGACTATAATCAACTCAAAGGCTCCTAAAAATAACAACTTTTAAGTCAGACTTGTAGAGATTTGGAAAAAAAAAACACCACAAAAAACACCAAGCCAAAAAAACATGTAAGTAAACCAGTTGTTGTTGTTATGTGCCTTTGAGTGAGACTCATAGCAAGTCTATGGACAGTAGCTCTGAAGCCTGCCCTGTCCTGAGCCAATCGCGCTGACTCCAACAGACCTACCCCCATTACCCCAGTCATTGTATCAATCCATCACATCCAGGGCCTTCCTGTCCTACGCTGTCCCTCCGCCCTTCTGAGCATGATGTCCTTCTCCAAGGACCAGGCTCTTCTGCTGCCCAAAGTATGCAAGATAGAGCTTCAAAATCCTAGCCTCCAAGGAGAAATTTGGTTTCACCCTCTTCAAGACAGACCTATTTGTTCTCCTGATGGTTCATGGTATGTTCAAGACTCTTTTCCAGCACTACAACTCCAAGGCATACATTCTTCCTCTGTCACCCTTAGTCATTGTTCAGCTTTCTGATACATAGTAAGTAATTGCAAAGACCATGGCCTGGATCAGATCTGTCTCTAGACTGACATTGTTGCTTTTATAGAGAGGTCCTTGACAGCAGATTTTCCTAGTGCAAGTCATCATTTGGTTCCCTCACTCCTGGTGTCAAGAATGTTGACCATGGAGCCGAACAAGCTGTAAATTGTTAACCAACTTAATGTCTTCTCCACCCATCACAATGTTGACTATTAGTTTTGTGGTGAGGACCTTTATTTTCTTGATGTTAAGATATAATCTATATAGAAGGTTGTGGTCCTTGAATTTCTGCAGCAAGCATTTCATATCCTCCTCTTTTCAACCACCAAGGTTTGCAGCTTAGTGGTAAGGATTTGTGCTGCCAGTTCAAAGGTATGCAATCCGAATCCACCAGTTGCCCTGGGGAAGAAAGATGAGACGTCTTCTCCTGTGTGATTTTCTGCTTCTGAAAGCCTCCTGGTGGGTTAGCTACTGGTCACTTCTGACTTGAAAGTACACAACATCTCCTGTGCTGATGGCCTCACTTAGGTTATTATTTTATTCTTTTTTTACAAGTTGAAAGTTATGTTTACTATCTAGCACCATAATCCAGTCTTGGGCTCTCCCACCAACTTGAGCAAGGGTGGGGAGAGAGCATGTGGGGTGGTGATGGAGCTCTTCATCCGAGGCCTCATTTTTGCTCTAAGGCAACTCAGGATCCAGCAAACAGGAACCTCCCCGAAGCTGTGATGACCACGCGCTGCTGGTTCTAGGTTGAGGAGGCTCTGGAGAGGACTGATCCATGAGGGTCCAGAGGGCCTACAGCAGGGGGCCCTCACGAGCTAGGTGACTTCTTCTTGGCATCCAAGTCCTTCTTCATGTCCTCAAGTTTCTGGTCAGGTTTGGTATCCCGTAGTTCTGAGTCAGGTGCATTCCAACTATGTTTCTAAAAGTAAATCCAAGCCGAAACTGGAGCATGATGCCGGCAGGGAGGGTGAGGAAGCGACAAGAGCCACCACCGTTGCCATGCTGGTCCCAGCCTGCCTCCCCGGAGCGAAGGGTGGAACTATACTTAGACTGTATATATTATAGGGCATTATGATTATCACAGGAATCCAGAATTAAGGTTGCATAGTGGAGTGCATTCAGGGTGGGGGGCGCAGGCGGGGGATTGCATACCAACGAAGTTTATCTTTTGCTTTTCAAAAAAAGGAGCTGACTGGGGAGGGTGGGTAAAGAAAAAAGTGCAACAATGAATGAATGGAAATCCAAAATCTCTGTTAAAGTTCATTAAAACTAGTAAAATAAGATAATAAAAACAAAACAAAAAACCCAAAGCTGGAGAGACACTAATTTTGAGCAGCCATTGCAAGGATTCTGAAGCTTCATCTGACATAACTTTGTACATGTTGCAAGGCGGGATCAGTCCTTGGAGAGGGACGTCATGCTTGGGAGACCCTCGATGAGATGGATTGAGTCCATCAGTGGGGAAATGGGGGTAGGTGTGTCAAAGACAGTAAGTTGGCAAGGGATAGAGCAGGGTTTAGGACTGTTGTACATAGGGTCTCGATGAATCTCACACGACTAGATACATATCAACAACAAAAAGAACAACAAGTGGGGGGAAGAATATTTTCTAGTACCATCTTGACTTATATAAAGATTTTCTAATGCACAAAAGGGAGCTCGGGCGGCCTAGAGGCAAGAAGCTGCACTACAATCCCGGAGGCGCGTGGTTTGAGGCCACCAGCTGTTCCAAGGGAGAAGGATAGGCAATGTCCTCCCGTGTGATTAACTGCCTCTGAAAACCCGACGGCGGGTCAACTACGGGTTGGTTGGTTCTGACTTTATGGTACACAGCAACAACAACAACAAATATACAAATATTTTTCTAAAAAATGAGGCTTATGCCACCAATTTTTACATTTAGATGGCCATGATTCAAGAGAGTTCCATCAGTTAGAAATCACATAAAGGGCTCTTCTCATTCATATTTAAGCATAACAGAAATAATACAAGTAAATAAGTTTTCCAGAAAATGGATTGTAGTGCAGATATGAATGAGTACAAAGATAATTCCTTTGCTTTTCTTCTCTTCAATTGTTGATCCCTAGACTTACATTGAGTATTTAGAATCTCGTATTTTCTGCCATAACAGCTTCATTTGTAATTTCTAAGGACAACATGATATAGTGCTTGTTGTTGTTATTAGGCATTGTCAAATCGAATGAGACTCATAGCAACTTTATGACCAAAAGATTTGAACTCTGTCCTATCCTTCACCATCCTCACACTTTCTGACACACAAGAGCCCATTGCAGCAGTCACAATGTCAATCTACCTAGCTGAGGGGTTTTGTCTCTTTCGTGGACCCTCCTCTCTTCCCAGCATCACATCCTTTACAAATAGCCCCTCCTAGCAACGCACCCAAAGTGTGAGGTGAAGATGAGGTGAAGCCTCATCATTCTTTCTTCCAAAGAGCAATCTGGCTGCACTCTCTCCAAGACATATCAGTTTCTTCTTTTGGCCATCCATGGGATGTTCAGTGTTCTTCTTCAACACCACAGCTCAAAAGCATCATCAGTTCTTCTTTGGTCATCATCATTCATTTCCAGCTCTCATATGCATAGCATATGTCCTGAATCAGATATATCTTACTCCTCAAACTGACACCATTGAGAACAAATTTAACAGTCAATTAACCAAGAGACTTGAGTAAGTCTTTAAAATGCATATGGAGACTAGAGTCGTCTTGGAAATAAATTCTCCTAGCACTAGACAACTTTTTTTTTTCCTTCTTTTGATTGCCTTTCACTGAGAATTGCTTAATCACATGAATCAGTTTAATGGCTGGTTGTTAACCAAAGCCTTATTCACTCATTTGTCCAGTCTTCACTCTAAGGCAAGCACTTGTACATGTAACTGGCAAAGTACAACACAAATTCATTTTCTATCTTTCTTTTTTTGTAATTTTTTAAAAATTTTAATAATTTTAATAAACATTTACAGAGATTTTGGGTTTCCATTCATTCATTGCGGCACTTCTCTCCTACCCAGCCCTCTCCCCGCCGCAAGCCCAGTTCTCTCCTCTCTTTGGAAAGTAAAAGAAAGACTCCCTCCCTGGTACACAATCCCCCTGCACCCCTCCTACCGCCCCAAGTACATTCCACTATGCAACCTTAATTGTGGACTCTTGTGATAACCATAGTACCCTAACATACATAGCTTTTAAATTATTCTCTCCCTCATCTGTTTCAGTGCAGTATACACAATTTGTCCAGTTTTTTTCAGTCAACTTTAAGATAGTCACTGAACCTACAGGGTATGCCAGTTTCCTCAACTTTTGCTTCATTTACCTTGTACAATTATTAGGTAGCTCAAACTGTAAAAGATAGAAGTAATCAATTTTTCTGTTTTAAAGTGTTAATTGATTATTGCACAATATTATTTTCCCATCTGGGCCATTTAAAGTCTTACCAAGATCAGGTAATATGAAGAAGTGTAACTTATTTTCGAAATTGTTAAATTAAGGTATTAAAACACATGACATTATCTAAATTTTAAATGTTACACTTTTATTGTTAGTTTAGCAGTACTGAAAGTCAGTGCCTCCTGTGATTAATATACTTCAACTTCCTGTGTTTGGAAAAGTCTAAGTAAAGAGACATTCGTGTAAATGAAAATTTTAAGATTATAAAAAGTACCTGATAAACTCCTGGCTTTGATTCAACTTTTTAGAAAAGTATGCCAAAGACTTTTGACTTGGAAAAGTGGAATAAGAGATGGTAGCAGGATATTCTGTTTCTTCACAAGGAACAGGGCAGGTAGAATTATGTGTTCCCACTGTACATAATTCTTTAGCTTCAATGTAGTCTGCAAAGGGTATGCACAGAAGATAAATATGATGGAGTGGAGATGACAATGTTTTTGAGGCTTATAATTTGATTTTCACTATTTAAAAGTGGTTAACAAATTTTATAACTCATGTCTTTAAAAAACACCAAATACAGCAAAGTAAATGGATCATAAAACATAGGGATTCTTTTGTTTGAATTTATTGAGTAAGTAGATCTTGGCTAGAAATAAAAACTTTCCAGGAAGTGTCTCTGTCTAATTCCATAAAATATCAGACAGTTACACAGGAGAAAAATGGAAAGTATTTTATGGGCTATTTTGTCACTTGAAAGGAAGTTTCAAACATATCCTTAAACCCAGTGCCTCATATTTGAATTAAATTTATTTTTAGGTTTTTCTCAACATGTCTTAATATTAAAAAGGCTTCCAATTTAGTAAGTGTGATCTTTGTGGGCGCAGTCACTTCTAAGTTAACTTCTAAGATTTTTTTTTTTTTTTTTTTCTGAGATTCTTTATATTCTACCTTATCTTGGTTTATTTAGCACCATCTGGATCTATATAAATATGTACAGGTACTTTAGGTAAATATACACTGGAAAATCGTACTAGCACAAGGCACAACATGTCTACAGCTATCACTCACGCCACTTCCCAGAAAACACCTTCACTATTTCCGGCTCATGACTCTTTTTTGGTACTTAGGATCTTTATTTTTGGTTTTGGTTTTGTCCCTGAAGAATTGTTCTTGTGAACATACCCTGATAACATGTCCAAAGTTTCTAAGACATAGTCTAAATATCTTTGTTTCTAACAACCACTCTGGTGAAACTTTCGACAAGACTTATTTTTTTGTTCTTTTGCAACTCCCAATCTTCTCAAAGAAATGAAAAGAACACTGCTTCTTTGATGGTTTAAATTCACCAGTGACTTTGAAGGGAAAAAAATTATCAATCTCCTGTGCAAGTTACAGCTTTGGAAATCCAATGAGTTCATTCTTGACTCAACAGTAATGAGTTGGGCTGTAATTCCATTAAAACTGAGTTGATTACAAAATTCAGTTGAAGTGATTAGTATTTAAAAAGTTTATTACAATTCATAGGCACTATCAATCAGGTTTGTGAGGCTGTAAAAAATTATGAGAGAAGACTACCTATTTTTCTACCACAGTGAAGCTGGCAAATACAAACTGCTGACCTTCTTATACAACTCCATGGTGTGTTAAATATTCTTCAGCAACAATACAATTTAAAAACGTCAATTTCTTCTTGGTCTCCCTTGTTTATTGTCTTATGGATTGAGCAAATTTCACATTCTTATAAAGCAACTGAAAACATAATGCCTAGGGTGAAGTGTACCTTAGTCTTTAAATGGACATCTTTGCTCTTCAGCACTTTAAATGCAATACATCTTTAGATTTCTTGATTGCTGTTTGCATGAGTTGTCGTTAGGTGAAATTGAGTCAACTATGATATATAGTGTCTCTATGAACAACCGTTCTGAACCTTGCCCTATTTCCTAACATCATTATCATTTCTGACATACTCCAGGCAATTATACCAGTCACTGTAGAGATTCATCTTGTTGAAAATCTTCCTCTTCTTTTCAGGCCCTCCACCTTTCCAAGAATGATATCTTTTTCCAAGGACTAGTTCCTCCTAACAACATGCCCAAAGTGTATGAGACAGAGTTTCCTCTAAGGAGCACCGTGAAGTTGGACTTTCTTCTACAGATATTGATTGTGAATCTGAGAAAAATAAATCACTGAAAATTCCATGTGTGTCTCTACTTATCATTACGTGGTTTATTGGTTCAAATGTGAGGATTTTGTGGTTTTCTATTTCAGTTTAACTGTAAATCATCCTGAAGACAATAGCTTAAAACTTTATCAATAAGTACTGCTCTTTCTCTTCATTATCTGCAAGCAAGATTGTGTCATCATCATATTAGATTTCTGATGAGTTTTCTTCCAATTCTAATACCATATTCGTCTTAATATAGTCTAGTTTCTTGAATTATTTGCTTTACGTACATCCTGAATAGATACATTTATAGGATACAGCCTGATAAATGCATTTCATGATTTTAGTATGAAAACTTTGCTAGATACTTTCAATCTCTGGTGACCCTGATGATATTTCAAATACTGATGTATCTTTTAGCACGACAGCAACACACAAACCCCTACAGTATAACAGTGAAAGAGGAGTGTTGTGTTTTGCCCACAAAATCCTCCCATATTGTAACGTGAAGCTTAAAGTTCTTTCCTTAGTTTTTTTTCAGTTTGAGAAATACCAAGAGAGGTTATTTTTTAGTTTTCTAACACCAGATTTTTGTGCATTTCATTTTAATACTTTCCTTTTTATTTTCAAGTTTTCTTTAAATTCTTCTGTATAGCATTTTTCTTTTTTTTATATAGTTTTCTTACATTGTCAGTTCTTCTGTCCATTTTTGTTATTCTTCGAGAATGAGATTCCTAGTCTTTTCTGAGAGCCATTTTTGTCTTTTATTTTTTGTGTTTATCTTTAATAACTTTCTGCTTTTTCTATGCTTGATGTCTTTGATCTTCAGTTTATCTATAGTCATCAGTGCCTAGTCATCAATCTATCTTGACAAGAATCTATTCTCAACAAAAATTCACATAGAATATGCTCAAGGTCATTCTTGGGGTCTAGTGAACTTATTTTTCTTCAGCATTAACTTAAATTTGTTGGTAAGCAATTGATAATGTCTGTTCATAGAATGATGATAATTATTTGAATCTTGTATACTTCATTCAGTGAATTCTATGCATATAATTTCCATTTCTGTTGTTGAAAAATGCACTTGCAGTGAATGCATCTTTGATCTTGCAAAATTCTACCACATATTGTTCTATCACCAAGTCCATATGTTAATCCTTCTTTCTTGAAATTTTTGTATTACAATCACTTGTAATTATCAGTGCATCTGGATTGCATGTTTGATGACTTTCTACTGCAGAATTTAGTGAAAAAAAATCTTTGATGTTTTCACCCTTAACATTAGATGTTTAAATTTAAATAATAGTCATATTAACTACTCTTCCTTGTTGTTGTTATATAACCTCAAGTCAGAATCATGTCATAGCTCACCCTCTCATAGGTTTTCAGAGGCTGTAAATCACAAGATAGGAGTTTACTCATCTTTCTCTAATAGACCTACTAGTGGATTTGTCTTTGGGTTGGTAGTACAACTCCTTTCTACTAAGCCACTAGAACTCTCAATTACTGACAGCATTGTACTTGAGGATATTGTTGTTGTTATTATATGCTATCCAGTTGTATGTTTGATAGTTCTAAACTTTGCTCTATCTTGACCTAGTCTCATTGTCTCTGACACAACTACCCCTGTTACTCCACTCTATGCAATGTATTCCATTTGGGGTCTTTCTCTCCTCTGCTGTCCTCCACCCTTTTAAGCAATGATTTCCTTCTCTAGGGATTGATTGCTCCTGGCCATGTATCTAAAGTATGTGAGACAGAGCTTCAAAATCCTTGTCTCCAAGAAGTAGCCTGGTTTCACCGTCTCCAGGATAAACCTGTTCTCTTGGCAGGCCATAGTGTGTTCAACTCTTTTCCAGTCCCACAACTCAAAGCCATCAATTTTCTTCTGACATCTTTCATCACTGTCCAGCTCTTTGATGCATAGCAAGTGATTGTGAAGACTATGGCCTTGATCAGTTGTACCTTAGTCTCCATACTAACATCTTTGCTCTTTAGCACTTTTGAGAGGGCCCTGACAACAGCTTTTGCCAGAGCAATTTGTCTTTTAATTTCTTGACTTCTGATGCCAAGAGTGTTGATTGTGGAGCTGAGCAAGCTAAAATTGCTAACATCTTCAATATCTTCTCCATCTATCATTGTGTTGCCAACTGGCCCAGTGGTGAGAATCTTTGTCTTCTTGTTGAACTCAAATCCATATAAAAGTCCTTGACCTTCTCAGTTTCTGTGAGCAAAGTTGTGTTTACTTGCATAATGTAAGTTATTGACGAGTCTTCCTCCAATCCTGACACTACATTCCTCTTCATAAAGTCCAGCCTCCTGCATGTTCTGGTCCCCAAATAGATTGAAGAGACATAGAGACAGGACATATCTTCGATTCAATCCTTTACTGATTTTAAATGATGCACGTTTCCTTGCTCTATTCTGGCTACTGCTTCCTGGCCCAAGTATAGGTTTTTCATGAATATAATCAAGTGTTCTGTGATTCCCATTCTTCTCAAGATTAGCTACAATTTGTTGTGATCCACACAGTCAAATGCCTTTGCATAGGCAATAAAACAGATAGATGATAGATCTTGAAATATTTTGGCTGATAAATGCTATGCCATTTGTTTAAAGTTTTTCATTCATAGAATAGTACACCATATATTTGTTCAGTTCAAAATAAGAGAGTATCTGTTTTTTTCTGAACTGTATTAATATTTCAAATACCTTAAAAATGGACAGGTTTTAATGTATGTTAAAATCTCCTCCCATGTATTAACTGCCTCTGAAAACCCTCTGGAGAGTTAGCTAAGGATCAGTTTCTACTTTATGGTTCACAACACCAACAAGATAATCTAAGATGCAGAACTTGGTGACTTGCTGAAAAAACTGGCAAATGAAAACTATAAAATAGGGGAGCTCTGGTGGCCTAGTGGCAAGGAGCTGCAACTACAATCCCAGAGGCGAACGGTTCGAATCCACCAGATGCTCTGTAGGGTAAGGAGGGACAATCTCCTCCTGTACCAGTCAGATCTGATTTGATGGTACACACACACAAAAATAATAAAATAAAATAAAAAAAAACTATAAAATAAGCAGTGGAAGGCATAATGTTGAAAGAAAAGTGCCTCAGTTTGGAAAATACTAAAAACACGTCTATGTAAGTGCTAGTTTCCTCAACCTAGCTGACCTTAATGATGTGAATGGGGAAAAGTATCACATTTATTTACTCAAGTAAAACAATTGAAAATAAAAATAAATTTATGTAAAGATATATTAATAATAAGAATATTC